AAGGATTAAAAAGCCACTTCATCTCTTGGAGCTTGCTAGCTGTTGGAAAATCAGTTACACGGTTCCCGTTCTTTAATCACTTTTATTAGTATTTCGTAAATTTGTGAAGCAGCCTATTATGTAAAATGTGTTAAATTATGTTCTTAAGAAGTTATAAAGAAAGTAAGAGAGAACGTTTCTAACAACTTCGAAGGTCAAAAGTTCTTATCTTTTGGAATCCACGTAAAGAGAAAATCAATGCATTTTATACCTCAACTATTGAGCATCCTACGTTATTGCTAAATATCTTCGTACAACATTTTAAAAATAAAAGGAAAGGACATGCTAAAGCTATAACAATTACATATAAGAATCCGAATATCATTTATTGTTAAAATCCGTTTTAATCAATTTATTAATAGCTCCATCTATGCAAATCTAATGTCATACAACACAATATACTGCAGTATACAACAAATGACTTTCATGGAATTAATTAAATATATCGCTTTATGAATTGAGAGTTCGAAGTTAGCCTGTAAGAGGTCATCGCTAGTAGAAAGCTTCAGATAAATTTATCGTTACACCTCTACTTTAAATAAAGAACAAATGAATCTGTTACAGTGTGCTTTATTAAAATTTAATTTTGAAATATTCACCTTTAAATTTTATAGTTAGGTACATTAATACCTAAATAGAACGACATTTTTGTCTGGATAATATGTTGAATTCAAATGTAGCTGTATAAGCTGTAAGCTGTGTTTGATTTGGTTATAAAATTCTACTGTAAATATTGTCTTGTCAGTAAAGTGGCAGTTATCGATTGACCTCAACTAATCGTTTGAAATGTTCCAAACGTTGCGGTATTTTAGTAATTTTCAAACTTATTGCGATGAAATTCAACGGTAGGTCAAGCGACGAACCCGACTTGGAAACGTACGCAATCGTATAAAAAAGTGGTTTCGGGTCTGCGAGAAGTTTACAATAAGAAATACTTATTCTTATTTCATACGTACGTCCTCCTAATAAAAACAGAAACATATTTTTGATAAATATATTTTACGTTAAACTTGTAATGTTGTAAAATTTGTTTATTAAAAGATAATAATATAAACGCACTTTGTAAATATTGTTTAATGTTAATAAAGCGGTTATCGATTGGTCTCAATTAACTGTTTAAAATATTTCAAATGTTACGCAATTTTAGTAATGTTAGAATTTAATGCGTTGAAATTCAACGCTTTTTCAAACGACAAACTCACCCTACAAAGCGTATATAGTCGCATCGAAACGGGGTGTCCTACCGGGAAAAGTTTACAACAAGGAAGACTTATTCTTATTTCTTACGCATATCATCTTCTCAAAGGCAGAAGTATGTTTTCAATAAATATACTTTACGTTACACGTTAATATTGTAGAGTTCTTGATTTGTTTATTAAAATATATCAATATAAAGCACTCTTGTAAATATAGTTTTATGTTAGTTACGTGGCGGCTATCGATTGACATTGAATAAACGTTTAAAAATTTTCAAACGTTGCGATATTTTGATACTTTTAAGTTTTAATGCGTTGAAATTCAACGGTAGGTCAAGCGACGAACCCAATTTTGAAACATACGCAGTCGTATCGGAAGGTGGTTTCGCATGGGTAAAAGTTTACGATAAGGAAGATTTACTTTTATTTCTTCCACTTGTCATCTTATCGAAGACAAAATATGTTTTTAATAAGTATCGTATTTTACGTTAAACTGATAATATTATAAAATTTATTCAGTTTGTGGCATCATGGTTTTGTTGCAGAAAGTAAAAGTCAAAGTCTGGTATTTGACGTGATGATTATTTAAGGATCGTGAAGAAGAGGATAATTCTTTTTACAGTAATTTATTTATTATTGTGTACTTTGAATCGGCCTTCACATTTGAAATACCGACTCGTCTCTTTTTCCGACAAACCACGTGTGCTTATTGGGCTATTTTAAATGAAATTATTGACTTCTCCTCTACAGCAAACATAAAATAT